ATGATGATATTTCCGCATTAGCTCTTTTGTTAAACATGTGCCCCAAACTAAGCAAACATTTGATACATTTGAAGGTAATCTTGACTTCAATCGATAATTTTTATTTGAAAGTATTTCTATCAGTGTTATGCATTTCTTAATGCACATTGGTTGTGCAAATGTGGAACGGTGCCGATTTTTTTGAATTTTCATTTTGGATTCTACTAAAAGCTTTGTATTATGCAGAATTTGACTGTAGATAGGTTGTGGGAATTACCTGACGATAATGTTACTCTAAAGTGTGAAACGCTTCGTGAATTATACATTTTTTGCTCCTTTAGCGGGTCTGCGCTCGAACTGCTATCCTTCAAGTGGCTACTTAACTGCTTTCCAGCTCTTGAAAAGTTATTCATCAATAATTCAAAATGCTTGCACCACAACAGAGATGCTAAAAATAAGCAGAAGCTTCTGCGCTATCTTCGTGCCTCTACAACTGCTGAAATTGTTTACGCTTGATTTATGCCATTGCCATTTCTGTTTTAGGTCTTGATGGATTATGCCATTGCTGTTTTATGATTTAAAAAAAGAAACTGAAATGACATTCTAAATGTATTCGTTCATCATTCTGAAGTTCCCAAATATGCATCTCTAACTGTTTTTTACTTTAAAGAATGGAGTGAATACTACTACGATCCTAAACTTCTACTTATATACTCCCTCCGTCCCGTAATTAAGTTCTTCCTTTCCTTTTTGAGATGATCCATATTAAAGTTCCTACTTTAAACCTTTCCTTATTTGGCAAATGATTTACACCAAAACAGTGCCAAACAGTGCACTCTACAGTAAAGTCAAATTTATCTCTTAATATGTGTGAAGTCAAACCAGAAACTTAATTAAGAACCGGAGGGAGTACATTTCTAGAACTGTATATACGTATATTTTCTCCTACTGAAGTTGCTTTTCTCTAGACACAAAAAACACTCCTTAGACAAGATACACTCTACGTTACTTTTGTCACTTTGATTCAAATATAGGCATCAGTTGTCCTATCTCGAGCAATGTGGTTATAATCAATTACATTCAAAGCTAAAAAGTGAAAAAAGCTCAAAACAAAGTGTTTCAATAAAGATACGGAGTTGAAATCGAAAATATTTTGTATAACCTAAAGTATAAATATAAATTTTATATCTAATAAAAAATAGGAATATAATCTGAAGTATTCTAAAACAAAAAATAAAAATGCAAGCAAAATGTTAAAACACTAAATAAAAAATACCTAAATAGTAAGAAATTAATAGAAAATGTTCTCAAATAAGAGTGTAATTTTCTAATCCCAAAATAGGACCCATGCACGCCTGGTTAGGATTAAATAAGTCCTATTTGGAATGAAAACATATTTAGTTCTATTTTAGAATTTTCTCTATTTCCATCCTACTTTGAGTAGCTTTTAAATTAAATCTAAATTATTTAATAATTTAGCATATTAAAAAAATATTATACATACAAAGTATAAATATTAATAAAATTAAAAATAACAAATGAAGTTTAATGTAGGAAATGAAAGGGCTAAATAAATATTTAAGAATAAAATATAATGTCAAAATATACATATATTATCTTATCATCTTTTTTATATTTTATGTCCATATTTTGAATTAACCAAAAGTTAAATATTCTTCCTATATACTTCCTCCGTTCTCAAATAAATGCAACGGTCAACATTTCACACTTGCCGAGACACAACGTTGACCATTAATATATATAATTTTGTATTAGTAAAAAAATTTTAAAAAATAGATTTTGAAAATTTACAATGAGGTGAAATTAAAAATATTTTTTTCATAAAAAATATTAATACATTAATAAATAAAATGTAGTCCAAGTAGAACATGTGAATAGTGTAAAATTCAAAGTGTTGCATTTATTTAAGAACGGAGGTAATACTACGTATATTTATACTTTATTTTTATTATTTTATATTTATTTTATTTTTTTATTTTGAATTTATCCCAATTTTGAAACTTTTTTTTACAGTTGAGGGGATCAATTTAATAATTTGGACGTGTTCAGGGACAAATTTGAGCTTTTAGTTTTCATTTCATATGCAAAGTTGGCAACGTGAAAGATGATGTGACAGGTGACTAAATGTTTATCCGTAAAAATTAAATTTGAATTATATTTACCAGTTTAGGGTGTGAATTGGATCCTTGTTTTAGTTGAGACTAAATTGAACAAACAAGACCAGTACAACACCTCTATAATCTTTTAGGCTTCAAAAAAAAGGAGAAAGGTGCAAATGCACCCCTGAAATATATGTGGAGGTGCAAAAAGATGCAAATGCAAAAAGGGACACATACCTCTAAATTTATAAAAGGTGCGAAAATACCTCTCACGTTTCAAAAAATGAGCAAATTTACCCTTATAATATTGACTTTAAATATATAAAATAAAATTTTATATATTTATTTCAAAATTAAATTAATAAGTAAATTTAATAAAAAATAATAAATTAAAATTTAAATAAAAATCAAAGAATGCTATTTCAAAAAAATGTAACCATGTTTTCGAAATATCACAACAAGACAAAAATTAATATTTATGAATTTGAAGTTCTTCATTTTTAAGGGAAAATAAAAATTTTGCAAAAAAATTAAAGATTTAATATTTTAATATAAATATAAATCTTTGTTTTTAACTCTTTAATTTTTTTATTTTTAAATTTCAAATTTTATACTGATAATTATATTTTTTAAATTTACTTTATTTATTTAAAGTTAATAAGGATAAATTTACTACTTTATAAACATTATGAATATTTTTGCTACTTTTAAAAGTTCATATATATATATATATATATATATATATATAGAGTCCCGTTCCTATCAGGAGCTCCTGAAGAGAAGCCCCGTGCGGACAAGCCCATCAGAGGGTCTTCCCGGTGGAATTTTTTGATGAAATTTTTTGAGCATGTTCCTCATCAAGTCTAGTTTGTCCATACCAAATTTCAGCTCAAAATTCGATCGGGAAGGCAGTCAAATAAATCCGGGAAACATACTGCACTTTATATGTGCGCAGAATGAGCCATAGTTTTCCAGGATTTATTTGACTGCCTTCCCGATCGAATTTTGAGCTGAAATTTGGTATGGACAAACTAGACTTGATGAGGAACATGCTCAAAAAATTTAATCAAAAAATTTCACCGGGAAGACCCTCTGATGGTCTTGTCCGCACGGGGATTCTCATGAGGAACTCCTGATGTGAACTGCCCTATATATATATATATATATATATATATATATATATATATGAACGTTTCGCATTTACCTTCAATATGCTTGCAACTTTCCCTGTTAAAAAAAAGAAAAAAAATGGAACGGTATTGTAAAACCTGCCGCCATATCAGAGTATATTTACTTAGGACCGGCCTTGTATGTTTGAAAGCCTAGGGACGGAAAAAGTAAAATGGGCCTAATCTTAAAAGAATGTATTTTTTTTGTATCTAAAACTAACATGCATAATAATAATAATAATAATAATAATATTAATAATAACCATTCAAAAAAATTAAAACATTATAAAAAATTGTAAAACCCTCTTCCATCTAAATCAATGATGATATAGTATGATGATACTTATTTAGGAAGGAAACAGTGATGGTTCTATTTGTGTATTTTGCCAATATTTTAGTTTTATTTAAGGAATTAGCTCTAATGTTGTGATCATTCTGAATTGTTTCATTTTCGGTAGCCAAATCATTCTTCTTTTCTGAATTCTCATTTTGAGGATATTCAGAATTTGACTTCCTTACACAAACAAACTTTTCCATTGAACCATTTTTACTTAGCATCATTGTCTCTAATTTTTTTCTTTTTCCCCTTTATCCTATACAGATTTAACGATTTTATTACGCATTGAAATTAATTAAATTTATCAATTTAATTATAATTGAAAATTTTCATTTGAGAAAATTAACAATTAATAACACCAATCAACAATTGAGAAATCAAATAATCAACTATGAATGAAAATAATTAATAAACTAACAGATAATCATATCAGACTAATCTACTTGCAAGGCAATTTTTTTATGAAATTTTATGAACATCTTTTGATCAAGTTTAGAGCCTACTCACATTTATTATTAAGAAAGAACTAAATCTGCCAAATACCTTGTGGTACTCCCAAGAGGATTCACAGGTTCAAATCTCATCTTAGTTCGATGTTGGCATTAACATTGATTGAGCAGATACTATATAAGTTAGAAAGAATTGCAAAAAAAAAAACTAAATCTGAGCCGCTGAGCCTATTTTTTCCATTTTTTTTATCTAGGGCCGCCCCTGTATTTACTACTCGCTCTGTTCAGATTGAAATTGAGTAGATCGGCATTCGGCAATAACGTGTGAGTTGAATATTCCTCTTTGTTCTACCAATCTGTTCTTTATTATATGTATTAAATTTAATTTGGGTATTGAATACTGTGTTTAGGGTTTTATTATAACTTGTCAAGTGGCATGCATCTCAATATTTTGTTTATATTTAATTCTTACACTACAAATTAAATTCATATGTTTATGCAATATGAATATATGATTTGAATTTGTTCCTGTGTTTACGCTCCAAGCCTCCAAGCATGATGTTCATAGCCAATTTAACATCCTGCAGGATGTCCACATTCACCAAACTTGACACTAAGGTTATATGCTAAATTCATAGTAAGTATCAGACACAAAGTTTTTTTTTTTGACACAGACACAAAGCTTTTAAGTAGACCAAATAAACACAAAATCTAACTGCTTACAACACATCTGGACACTAACCAGTAACCAGCTCTGTCACTAACTTGGGTTTAATGGTGCTCAGCTCCCACCTTTTACCAATCTCCCAAGAATAATTATACACAACAATATTCTCATAATAATCTCCTCCTCCTCCCCCTCCCCCCCCCTCCCCCGCCCCCTCCCCCTAGAAAAATATGGTGATGTAGAAAAGAGAAAAATATATTAGTGTTTGAATTAAGGTAAGAAAATAAAAGAAAAAAATAAGAAGTAAAAAGAAAGTAAAGTAAAAAAATTAGTAGGGTGACAATATTATCTTTTATAAGAAGGGAACTAATCCGAGAAACTACATAAAAATGGAAATGAAATAATAAACGGGAAGAAGAAAAAGAAGGAAAAAATGGAATACATAAACATGGAAAAGAAATAAAAATAAAAAGAAGAAGAAATGTAAGAATAGAGACAAGAGGATAAAAATAAAGAGAGAAAGAAGAAAAAATTATTCGTGGGACCGTTTTGAGAAGATTTGTAAAAGTTGGGATTTATGATTTAATGTTTTACAAAGAAAAGAAAATAAACTAGAATAAGAGGTCATAAACCAGTCAGGGACCAATGAAAAAGATGTGATGTAAAAGTGGGAATATTCCTAAATTACAGTTAGGTGAGACCATTCTAAAAAACATGTAAAAAGTGAGATTATTAGTTTCCATTTTTCCATAGAAGAAAGAGTAGATCGATAAATGAATACTTCTGCTTGGGAGTACATAAACGGGCAACCTTGGGGGGGGGGGGGGGGGGGGAGGTTGTTTATTTACACATTAAAACTTTACATGCAAACTGATTGTGTGTAAAGTGTAGGGAAGCAATCACTTCGCGTGCGAAATATGAATATCATACTTCTAATATTTAGACATCTAATTGCGTATTTCTCGTAAGCATTTCCTTTTTGACTTTTCTTCCTCTTTATTAGAACAAAATTGGGTGCATAGTACTCTAATATCGCAACTAACACAACTAGTATGTTTTTAAAATGTTACATGACAGAATAAGCCGCCGTGTACATTGTTAATTCCTCCTGCGTAGGGCTGTCCATTTTCCACACTAACCAGAGAAAGTAAATCAGACTACTACTTTAATGATATAAGCACCAATATCCATGATTAAACCATATATATCATGTAAGTAAACCCATTCTGGTTAGTTTTCATGGAACTCAAATGCTTAAAAATGAACGGAATTGTATGCTAATGCAAGTGTTTTAGTAAAAATAAATTAGCAATGGTGCTAGTAACATCTGATTGGAAAGGAATAAAAAACAGTAGAATAGAAATATTACAATTAATTTAGCAAAAGCCATCATAAGAGAACAAAAGTCTAAACTCCAGTCGGCTAAATTTTTCCTAAAAACAAATTATATAGAATCATAAGTTCATAACTATACCCAAATGATTAATTGAAAAAATGATTAATTTATATAGATGAAAAGATTATAATATCAAAAGTGACTTTAGAACCCCATGTCTTCAATTTTTATGGTAGTTCCAAACATGCGAGAGAAATTGCAAGTTGTAATTGTAATAAAAATTATAAAACCGTTGCCAAATTTAGATAAAAGATTGATTTGAAAATTGTATGTCAAGTTGAAAGCAGCTCTAGATGCAAGGAATTACAATCAATCGTGTGCCAATTAAATCATTAGGTCAATAAAATTTTGATTCCAAATAAACACGGCTAAAAAACAAGAAGACTAAATTTTTTACTTGGCTTGAGAGGAGATCTGCTTATACTTGCTTCAGAAAGATGGAATTTGTGAGAGCAGATCTCTTCTACTTATACGTGCTGCGGAAGATGGAATTACCGCCATCTTTTTTATTATTGCCGCCAAAGAGAGTAGGGTTAGAAACGTAAACAGCTGACACACTGTTTAGGGCTGTCGTTATAGTCTATTTATTTTTATTAAGTTAATGTTATGATTTAGCTTAAGCCTATTATTAGTAGAGTATTTAGTAGAGTTATTATGGGCCTAATTAGGAGTTGTTTATTTTGGGCTTAATTAGGGTTTCCCGGGAGTCTGTCATTAGTATGTTATTTATACCCGTTGTATGCTTCATTCTTAATCATCTGGGAATAAAAGTTGGTTTAGATCATATTTTCTTATTGATTATCTGGGCAACGGTTCAGATCATATCCAGCCATTAAAAGAAGTGGGAGTATGTATATGCCAAATTGTCAATTGTGAACTCGAAATAGGTTCGTGAGAGAATATGATTATTCCGGTTCTGTCATTCAGAATTTGAGAATCTCCTTTGCCCTTAACTAAGATATATTAGGCGGATTTCAGTTGTGAATATTTCAGTTGGGCATAAATATTTTAATTGCATATTCATTGAGGGGTTTCTGAAGATGTTTTAACATCTTTTTTGTCTTTCTGATTTCAGCTTTGTGTGTTAGAGTTATCTGCTATATATGGAGGTGAAAGACAGAATTAGTGGACTTCCTCTGGACATACTTGCTCATATTTTGGGATTACTGCGGATCGAAGAAGCCGCTAAACCTGCCATTTTGTGTACGAGCTTGAGAGATGCTTGGTTGAGCCTTACACACCTCAACTTTGATAGCGAGTTCTTCAATTACATTCGGGACCGTTACATGGCAGAATCAACAATGTCCATAATCGACACAATTATCATCAAGCACAATGGACCTATTCACAAATTTGTGTTTGATTTTAACTTCAGAACTGTTAAGAAGAAGTTGAGGTGGTTCGACTTTGATGAATGGTTACTTTGTCTCACCCAAAATGGTATAGAGGAAATACACCTGTGTTTCAGCGGATATACTGCATACATATTGCCAGATTGGATATTTTCTTGCCTAACGCTAAAGACGTTGCATCTTTCAGGAGTCTCTTTTGAACAAATTAGCACCCCTTGCATATTCCCTAATGTGACTTCACTCTTCTTAAAAAATGTCTGGTTTGATGATAGTAAATGTTGTGGTGCTGAACTTCCTATGCTCAGAAATCTAACCTGTGACACAGTTTCTGGTTTTATCTTTACTGCCCCAAAGCTTAGATATTTGAAATTTAGCGGTCATCAATATTCTATCATTGCGGGAAGTTACCGTTCTCTCATTCTTCCAGTAAAGTTAGACTTCAGAACTATACACTCTCTTCATCTTGAAAGTATTGACCTTGAGGTATATAATACATGCTTTTATTGGATTGTTACTTGTAGATTACTATTTGTTTATGTTCTGAAAATGACGTTTCAACTTTCACTTTATTTTTATTTCAAGTGGTTTGTTGAAGAATTATCTAGGGTGGGACGAGAACAAACTATGCTAAATGTGGAACACTTGCAGCTACCCTTGTCTTATGAACCGCGTTTCGATGATGACATATCAGCTTGCTTTCACTTGTTGCAGATGTGCCCAAAGTTAACCAAACTTGACATACATTTAACGGTAATATTCTTCTCTTTTGTGGATAACTATTTCTCAAGTTTTTATTTTTCATTTTTTCTATGCACTCTTGATCTTTGAATGTTAAATGGAAGGTTTTTAATTTTTTTTTTTATTTTGGTGCATTTTTCCTTAGTTCGAGTCAGAACCATTCAAGGATTTGGAGCTCCCTAACCATACTTTGGCTCAAACATTCAAATCAATCCGGGCTTTAAGAATTGTTTGTTGGTTTGAAGGGTCAAGACCTGAAATGCTATTCCTCAAATGGCTACTTAGTCGCTTTCCGTCACTTGAAAAGGTTGTGTTTTTTCCACGTAATTTGTATGGGGACTACGATCTGTCTGAAAATATGGAGACACTTTTTTGTTTTCTGCGTGCCGCCGATATAGAAATAGAAATGTCTTGCTCTCGTGTTATGTTAAGTAATGTGTAAGTTGAATATACCAACATACAAAGTGTAGTTGTTTTAAAGTTCATCCCTCTCTATAGTTATCTTCCCACATTCAATTCTTTATCACTTCAAGGCAAAGTAATTTTATCTTAAATGATCACTCCTAAGAGGATGATGTGATAATTCAAAGGAAGACTTTTTGATCATTTTTCACTCCACATTTGTAGCTCTTGGAATAATTTGACAATTAGAAAGCTGTATAGTTTGCGTCTTTGTCAATAGTATGTAGATACATTTCTGAACCATACGTTCATCAAGGCATTTTGGATTTTAAAATTTTAGTTATGGATTAATGAACCACCAGTTTTGGTTTGATTGAGAAAAATAAAAAATTCAATTTTAAAAGTTGGCTCGCATTGTTGTAGTGTTGTGTTATAGTAGCTATTTGGAATAGACATTCCGAAAAGTAGAAAAAAAATTCCTTAAAGTGGTGAGCAAAATAATCACATATTTCCAACTTTAATTTAAAAAGTGATAGCATTCGAACTGAACCAAAAGATCAGAGGCTGTTTTGAGTTAGTATTCCCCAATAAGTTTATGGTTCAGATTTATGAAATTATTATTGGAAAGGAATCAACAGTTTTCTATTTCTCGTACAATCAATATATATATATAAAAGAGGAACTTTTTAAGAGCATACGGCGTGCCACATAATCCTGCCATGTCATCATATATAATAATTACTTAATTACTTTTTTATTTTTTTACATTCTATTTTTTATTGCATATTGATATGGAAACAAAATATTGTACAATCTTTTATAATCCACCTTATTTGATACTCCGTACTAGGTAACTTTTTGAGAACCTTTACTTACTCCATATTATTTGCAATATTATGATACTACGTAACTTTTATAGACAAATAATTATATAAGTTATTTAATTATTTTTGTAGTATCAAAATATATATAAAAGGTTATGTATTATTTTGTAGTAAGTATCAAAGTATTGCTAATAATACATGACCTTTTATCAAAATATTGCAAATAATGCATAACCTATTAGTAAGTATCAAAATATATTTTGAAGTAAGTATCAAAGTATTTATCAAATACATTATATTTGGACAAAATATTTTGTATCAAATTATATAATAAAAAAACGTAAACTACGTAAAAAAAACGTAACTTTTATAGCCATCCCTACACATAAACTATATTTTATATAAATTATTTAAATATTTTTTATACCTTTTATTTTTTATTACATTCTATTGAGAAATGAATTATCCGTGTTTTCCCCACCTAATAGATAAATCATCCATATTGCTATTAATTTTGTTCTTCAAAGTTATTTTATAAAAATAAAAAGGTAATAATAGTGTTCCATTTCCTAAATGTGAAATTTTATTTTTCTAAACTCAATCTCTTTTTCAGTATGTTTTCTAAACTCAATGCGATAATGACTAAAATTATAAGCCTTCGCTTAGATATATTTGCAATTGTGTTAATACTTTCTTAGTTATTGGAAATTATAACCAAAAGATTTTTTAACTTAAAAATGAAATTGATATATACTATTAGACGTTCATATATGAAGACAAGTAAAACTTCTGATCAAGCACCTTACCTTTATAAGAATGAAAATTCATATATGTTTAGTTGTTTCTTTATTTTTACAACTATAATTTAAATATTCCCCCACTTCTGTAATAGATTCCTAATACGAATTAAGAAATCTTCATATATTTAGAATGTTTTTAATTCAACTGATTTCAGTCTTAGACAAGATCAGATCAAACATCAATCATAATAACAAAAATTATTATTATTATTATTAATATTATTATTATACATATAATAGACATCTTCCACACTATATTACTTCAGACCAAATTAGAACTGAAAATGTCAATCTAATTTAAGACTACCTCTGTTCCTCTTATATTGAGACAGAAGAGGGTGACACGATTTTTAAGAAAAGTGGGTTTGTGTGGTTGATATTAATTGATAAAGTAAGAATAAATAAGAATGATTTAGAGCCCCACAAACTTTACAAAATATGGTATGAAGCAATTTTAGTGGGATTTCCCAAAAAGGTAAAATGAGACAATATAAGGTGGACGAAGTGAGTATATCTTATTAATGACGTTTTCAATGTGACGAAATAAATTGGTAAATTGTAAAAATGATCCATTTTCTTACATTCTCAATGTGACGAAATAATGAGTAAAATGTATGATCTTACTAATAAATTTACAAATACTTATTTCATACCATGTTGAATGAGAAATATTTAAAAAAAATAGTATTTTGAGATGCTTAATGAAGTAATATAATGTGAAGTTAATTAAGAAACTTTTGTGTGAATTCTTTAAAATCGGATTCATAACAATTATGTTTAGTTCAGATGCTTATGTACAAGTCCTTTTTAAATATTTTTCATATAAATTTTAATTTGTTTTATTAATTATATACGTAATACGTAGTATATTTTATTTTACTTTTTCATAGTTTGGGAGATTCCGTCAATTTAGCCCGATCAGTTAGATTTAGTTCATTACGGTAGAGTCATACAATTCAACTAATTTTATATTAGACTGAGTTTATTTTCCTTTTGCATCACATTATATTATACTACATACGTATATGATTCCGAAAATATCAAATTTACAATTAGCTAAATTATGTACTGCCCGTGCATCGCACGGGCTTGAAAGCTAGTTTCAAAATATGGTCGAGTTTACCAGAGCAGATCAAGCTAGGCTTCACCATAGTAGTTGCCCGTTGCTGGAACCAAGTTTTTTCCACAATTCCACATAAGTTTTTCTGTTAAATTTTACACATAAATTCGAAGTTCTTACTCCGACCCCGATTGGAAGTAATAGTAAACGAAATTATATGGGAAAATTTATAGCTCTAGCTACCTTTCTTTCTGCTGAAACCTCAACAGAGAAGGCTGAGTTTTTTTAATGCAACGTCTCAACTGGAGCATGAAGAAACGTTTGTAAAAGATTGATGCAATTTTAAGAACTAGATAGAGGCATAGGACCAAGGTGTAGCTTATGTACTATGGAGTATAATCATATTCTAGGGTGTGAATTTGGCCCTTACCCCTCTGGCAAAAGTATTTTTTGACACACATTCATATTCGTATATACTTCCTCCGTTTCCTTTTAATTGCAACAGTCAACATTTCACGTTTCTCAACACACAATTTTGATCATTAATATCTTTCATTCCTTATTAGTAAAAAATTTAAAAAATCATATTTGAAAATTTAGAATGAGAAGAATTTAACAATATTTTTAAAAAATTTAATTTATGTGAATAGTGCAAAAAGTCCAATGTTACAATTAAAAGAGAACGTAGGTAGAGTATATAGTTTCAGAACATCATACAAATTGAGACTCGGAAGATGAACAGTTTGTATGTATTAGATAATAATAAATGGTTTGCAGTTCGGAAAAAACAAATATTTGGGTGAAATGTGACGGCCTTTGATGATGATGAATAAATGGACGCTAATTTTATTCACAAAAAGAAAACATAATGTCCTTCACACCAATAAAGTAGGAAAAAATGACAACAATAAACACACCTTTCACCAATTTTTTAGAATAATCTCACAATTATATAATCAATAATATCATATTTGCATATCATCATCTTGTACTAGCCTAATTCAATTTGAGCCATTGGTTACGTCACTTTAAAAGACGTAGTGACATACTACATACTACGGAGTATGTATTAATCAAAGTCTTTTTTTGATATATAGGTTGAAGTTGTGCACGGCTGCACGCCCATGTAAACGCCACGTTTTATCTGTGTGCAGACAATATTTTCTTTAATTTTTTGTAAGTGAATTGTCTATGGCACGGACAAAACTTGGGGAAAATCTTGTTCATGCAACATCTTTTAATAGTAATAAGAAACAAGAAACCAATAAAGTTGTGCACCAATTAATACAATCTGAAGACTGGCCTGGCCTGGGTGTTGGGAGTGCCCGCATATATGCAGCTGATAAAGATCGAGCCTTGACTATCCAACTTTGCTATATATGATTGACAAATTTACGTTTCCAGGCTAACAGGTTCTTCATGTTGACAGGTGTTCCTGTGACATTTTTCAATGCCTGAAAGAGAGACTGATGAGGGGTTGCCTTAAGTTCTTGAACAACAGCAGAAATGGACTTCCCATTTACGAAGAAGATGTGGCTATTTGGGTGTTTTGTTTCGCAGCCAGCATGGCGCTCGAAATCAAATGCAGTCACTCCCTGCATATATGAACGAATATTACATATTCCTGGAATCATGGGTGTGTGGTGGCCTTGGGGCTTGAAGCTGAAGAAGTTTTTTTCCCTACTTATATTTTCGGGTAAGATATATATGTTGGGGAAAACACGACCCCCGACCTCTTCCAGGATCACCAGCTCAAAAGACTCTTGTACATTCACCCACCCACTCGTAACACAAAGATTCAATCTAACAATATCACTTTGTATTATACAATTGAAATGTACAAGAGATATTTTACAAGTAAACGGGTAGCTCACATCACTCTTTGTATATGAGACTACTTCACTCACACACACCTCTCTCAAGGAAGCACTCACTCACTCAAGAGCTCTCCTCAAGGCTATCTCTCTCACCACTTGAGGAGACTCTCTCTCTAGGCCCTCACATGGCTCTCTCCCTAAGCTCTCTCACTCAGGAATGATGAATCTCACCCCTATTTATACAACTCATCTCAAAGCTTCTCTAGAACTTTCTATACATCACTACATTTCTAGATTCTTCCAAGAACTATCCACAAGCTTCTCTAATCTTCTAGAAGGATCTAGAGAACTCCACATCGCTTGAGAATGTTCTAGAGGCTTCCACAAATTTCCGCACGATTCTAGAGAATTCCACATTTCTCTAGAAAACTCCACAATGTTCTAGAATATTCTACACTCTTCCACACGCTTCTAGATAATTCCACGTCTCTCTAGAAAGCTCCAGAATATTCTAGAACATTCAATACTTCTCTACACACATCTAGAGAATTCTAGACATCTCCGCAATATTCTAGAATTCTCATTAACTTCTCAATTAAGGAGGGAACCCAACAAATCTCCCC